AGCTCGATGAGTAGAGTCGAAACCAAACTCAGCTCGATTGGATTTATTGTTTGTCCAAATCGGAGTTTGGGAGTTATGACGGAATTTCACCAAATTTTTTTAAATTAAACAAAATAAAAAATACCTGAAGAAAGCCCCACAAGCCCTACATGTCCGAACTCCATAATGATAATAAACATTTACTTTGGACTCACAAACTTTGCATTGTTTAAAGATGTTACTTTCCATTTTTAAAATAAATTGGTATTTTATACAAATTGAATTAAACGGTTTATCGTATATAGAAATTTTTTTTCAGGCAAAAATAATTTTTATTTTATTTTAACAAAAAAGATTAAATATTAATTAAAATTAATATTGAATATTACAATTTTTTATATCTCATTAAATATAAAAAAAATTCCTGGCAAATTGTTGGTAAATTAAATTTAAAAAATTATGTGGATGATTTGGGTATGTTCGAACGTGTTTAGTTTTAATTTTAAAAAATAACCAGCTAAATAAACAAATATTTAAACAAAAATTTAAAGGAATAGTATGAGGGGGTTTTACTCTCTCTCTCAAATGAGGGGGTAAGCATTTGAGTGAGAGAGAGAGAGTAATTATTTGAGAATATACGTTAATTGCAGTATTTTCAATCACTGCCTAATTTTATATCCACAATTAGCTACCTTTTAATGTTAATAATTAAAATTTGATATCATTTTTACAAAATTTATGTCTTTTAGACAGGGTGACCAGAAAGTAATTGGACACGTTATTTATGCCATAACTTTATTCAGATTAAAAATAATGAGATAAAATTAAGCTTATATAAATAGAGAAATAAACACATCTATAAGTAGCACTTAGGTACGAAATACGAGTACGAGCAAAAAAATACGCTGGTACGAGGCCAAAATTCAACTCGTATTTTCGTACTTGGGTTTGATGGAAAAATTTAAAAAATATGCTTGTTTCTTACATTCGCCCTTATATTAGTGGGTTGCCGAGTGGTTAAGGTGTTAGGCTTCACCCAAGACGTCAATGATTTAAAGGTCTCTCTTTGGATTGCCTTATTTATCAATTTTATTTTAATTTGTTCCATCCATACCAGAATTTTGAAACTTCTACTCATACAGTCATGCTTACACTAGAATGAATTGTACACCAAAGCATTTTCCTCCAACCAGTGGGCAACCAAATTGAAAAAGACGTTAGAATTTCCCCCAACATCAGAGGGAAAGCTCAATAAAAAAACTGCTAATTAAACAAAAATTGAAAACAAAAATTAATTTTATTAACGTTAATCTAAAAATGGTTTATTTGAAAATAAAATGGATTTTAAAAAAATAAAAAATTGATGGCTTTTTGGATTGAATAATTTAAATTTTTTAGATCTTCAAACTTTTTTTATGCTCCTATTAAACCTTTGAATAATTTTAATTTCTTTGATTTTCAAACTTTATAGGTTATAAAGTTTATAGGTTACAACTTTATAGGTTACAAACTTTATAACCTATAAAGTTTGAAAATCAAAGAAATTAAAATTATTCAAAGGTTTAATAGGAGCATAAAAAAAGTTTGAAGATCTAAAAAATTAAAAAAAATTAAAAAAAATTAAAAAATTAAAAAAAATTTAATAGGAGCATAAAAAAAGTTTGAAGATCTAAAAAATTTAAATTATTCAATCCAAAAGCCATCAATTTTTTTAAATTTTAAAAATCAATTTTATGCTCCTATTAAACCATTTTTAGATTAACGTTAATAAAAATTAATTTTTGTTTTCAATTTTTGTTTAATTAGCTGTTTTCTTATTGAGCTTCCCACTGAATGATGGGAGAAATTCTAACGTTTTTTTCAATTTGGTTGCCCACTGGTTTGGGGAAAATGCTTTGGTGTACAATTCATTCTAGTGTAAGCAAAGAGTTGACTGTATGAGTAGAAGTTTCAAAATTCAGATAGAGAGAGAACAAATTAAAATAAAAGTTGATAAATAAAGCAATCCAAAGAGAGATATTTACAAATAAAGATTGGAAAACCAAAAATTAAATTTAAATCAAATAATTATATGATTTGTGTCAAAAAACAGCCAATCAAATTTTGAATCCAAAGAAACTGAAAAAAATATATATCAAGTATTTGATCGACTTTAATGTTATATAAAAATAGCTAGTGCACGTTAAACTGGATAATACTACAAATTCTAAAGATTTTAGAACTGTGAGCAATCTAGCAAACTGGGGTTTTCTACGTCGGCATGTACTTACCGAATATTTAAATAAATCAGTATACCCCACGGAATGTATTATCTGATTCCTGAAGATAGGAAAATCTTTAATTTAAGGACTGATTTTTGAGTGTCTAAAAAATTCAACCTTCCCTAACAACAAAACCAAAATTTTTTTAATTCTAAAATCAATACAATAAAAATTTTTTTATTTTCTAAATTTAGTTTTGGAGCGTTAAAGCTTTAGCAGCCGATAAGCGTTCCAACCATTTTTAGATTGACGTTAATGAAAATTAATTTTTGTTCCATTTTTGTTTAATTAGCCGTTTTAAATTTTATTTTTGTAATTGAAGTAAAGTTTTGTTTATCGGATAAAGCTTTCTAGCCACGATAATTCATTTTTGTACCCAACAACATATTATCACATCAACAAAACTTGCCTATCTTTAAAATTTCTCAAATTTTATTTAGAAAATTTGAGTATTTGTTTAGCCAAATCTAAAACAAAAAAGGGAATACGTTCAATGTAGTTATCATAAAGCTGCTTGGGAGAGATTTTCTAAAATGAACGACGAAAGCCGAGGGCCCGAAGTGACCTAAAGTGGAATAAATGATAAAGTAAGGACCCGACGCGACGCCCATCTAAAAGGAAGTGACCGAAGCGACGCTCATCTAAAAGGAATGGTGTCCTTCTAATTTCAAAAAATACTTCAAATGAAACGTAAATCGTCGAGCAAGTAAAAAACCTAGCACTGTTTTAAAGCCGCAGGCTTTAAATGCGATTGAAACAAACGCTTCCCCCGACGTAACTAAATTTTAAAGCTATAAAACCCATTAAAAGCTATTTATCCTTAAGCTGGTTGAAAATACAAAAGAAAAAAAATTACATATTAATAAAAGATGGAAAAGAAAAAAAGTTGATTAAACATAAAAATAAATAGAACAATTAATTTTAAACCAAATTTTTAATGTTATTTTGATGGGCCCTTCTCTTCCAAGTTTGCCTTAGTATTTACCAAAAAAATTAAATTTTAAAAGTTAAGGATTAACTTGGAAGAATGAGGAGAATGTGATAGTGGCAATAAAACATTCGAGTCCCCCATAAACTTCGAGTCCCCCCCTCCCCCCCCCCCCCAACGTTCGAGTCCCCATGAACTATTACTACAGTATTGATTTTAAAAATTTGTTTCTGATGTTGTAAAAGTTTTAATCTTATTTTTATTGCTTAAAAAAGGAAGCAAATTACATAAGAAAAATAGATGAATGTATTTTATTGAATAATTACTCTGGGTAACCTATCGATAGAGGGAAAATTAATCGAGGAAGGGTAATTGATAAAGGGTATACAGTATTTTATTTTTAAAAATAATTAATTTTTAATCACTTCTTTCCAAAAATTTTTTCATTAAGTTTGTCCATTTTATGTATTCAATTTCCATTAAAAAATATTTAAGTTGGTAAGAGCTCATTAAACGATAAGTATATTCATTTTCAATACTTTTATTAATTAAACGAAAACATTCATCCAATCTTTGAGCCCCTTCAATTAAACCTAATCTTCGTTGATTATATCGAAGTAAAATATTTGTGTATTTAACAGATTCGTTATAAAGTAATTCTTTTCCATCGGGAGACAAGCCTTTAGCATCTTAAAAAATTATAGTTTATTTAATTTGAAATATAAAAATAGAGGATGATATAATAGAATGATGTTGTTATTTTTTAATTAGGTTTGCCGTTTTAGAAGCAGACAGGTCTTCTCTTTATCAATGTCTCTTCAAAGATCATGCCACAGGGCAAATAGAGGAAGGAAAGGTCAGACCACCGTAAGAGTTCTTTTCGGCCAAATATCTTAGGCCCGACTCGATCTTTCGGTCCGAGTCGGTAAATTTTAGCAACCCGGTTTTTAATGAACCAATCAATGCCCATTAAAAAGCCACAACACTATAATTTATATTAAGTGTTCACCTGATTTCGAAAGGATAATAGCTATTAACAAAGCAAATTCAACGTTTGTTAATGCAACACGTTTAAAATGGGCAACAGATTTTGTAAATATAAGATCTGTCCATTTAATTATTCTAAAAATTGAAAGACAAAAAATTTTTTTTGAAATTTTTAGTAAAATTATTAGAAAAATATTTACTTATCATCATTTAAGAATACAGGATTCTTCTTACAACCAAGAGCAGGCATAAAATTATCTTTACGTTTCCATGTTTCAGAGCCTAATTCCCAAGCTAGGTAGGTGTTTGTAAATATAGCAAACAAATGACAAATCTGTCTTAGATGTGCAATCTATTATTTAAAAATAATCATAAAATAAAATTTTTTGGCCTTGCGTTGCGTTTTGCATTTTTTGAGATTGTCTCTTGCGCTCAACCATGATATGAATGGTATCTTATTGGTTATTGGAAAAAAATTTCTGCCATTCTATAAGAATAATTACGAGAGTGTGAGGAATGGTACTATGCGTTTATATGCCCACACGTCCACAAATGTTTGTCCGCACTTTTTTTTCCCTTCTCCTTCTTTCTCCTCTCACAAGGATTAGAAATCGCATTTTTCACACCAAACTGAGCTCACTCCCCCTTATGATTTTTGACCATTTCGAGCCCTATATCTCGCTTCCTAGGTACCGGAAAACTTTGACCTCCTTTAATTCGACTAAGCTTTCTTAGCTCTTTCGAATGACGCCATATTTGTTCTGTTTCGACACGGAGAAGAAAGGGCATACTGAGGAATTAATCGAGTAAATACGGTATTTGTATCAAATAAAAAATAATGTATTTCAATATTTTGTAATCATACATATTTTGCAATAAAATTCCGGTTTTACACAAATTATAGTCAAAAATAAATGAACATAAAACACCTGATCAGATAAAGTCAATTTCTCAAAAACAGGCATAGATTTAGCTAAACCAACACACACGAATCTGTCAACTAAAATGCATTTTTGAACTCTCCTATTAAATATTCCCTCAGTTTGTACTGAAGATTCGCAACTATTTAATTCATCGAAAAATATTGTACTTGGATTTGGCTTTAAAACAAAATTTTAATTAAAAATTAAATTAAAATTAACCGAAAAATGGTCAGTTAAACGAAAAATATTAAAATTAGATGAAATTATTTCTTCAAACAAAATCGGACCATAAAGGAATATATCATCCAAATCATTAAATGCATGCATAATACGTTTTTTAGCTTCAATAATTGGTAAAATCGAGTTTATTTGTTGTTGCTCTTTGATGGTTATGTCGACAGTTGGGGAATTTTGTATCTTAAAAATAGAGAGAATTTTAATCCTTGTTTTGTTTTTATTCCCTTGGGTATTCAACATATTGCAGGAGTATGGAGCGACAGTTTAGATGCGGGTTTTGAGTATAATTCTTTGAGAACCCCCCCAATTTTCTAAAATCTGCTCCGCTAGTGGAAATTTAGAATGCTATGAGCCAGAATCTTCCAAGAAAACTAAACTTAATCCCAGATCACAAGGCTCATCACTTATTATGTGAATGAATCTTCATTCTCTTAAAATGTTCATTCTCTATAACAGTAAAAATTAAGCCAGTTGCAAGAGATTTGACAATTTCTTACTTTTTAAATCTGACCTTCAGCGCCGCAGTCAAAAATTTTGAGAATTTTTGGTAATAATTTAGTTTAGACTCCCTAATATTTTATTGCTTCACTAACTATTTTGAGCTTTTTTTATGATCTATAATTTATCATATAGTTTAAGGGTCAAAGGTATTTCCGAAGTTTATGTTTCCCATATTTCCTTCTATAATACGCGTGGTTCTTAGCGAGGTTTTTGGCGAGGGCCGAGACAAGGTTTCGAAACCTAAGGTTAGCAAAATCGAGGTCAGGATTTGAAAATGGGCGAGGACCTCGGCCTCGGCGAGGCCTCGACCGTCTTTAGTTTCATTTAGGTTTTTAATCTAATTTCCGCTTCAATTATAAAGTATTAGGAAAATTGTTAAAATTAAGAAAATTTTGATTTGTTTAATTTGCTGCTCAATTATTACGCAAGCTTTTAACTTTGAAAAAAATTTTTTAATGGAAAAGATGAATAATTTACCAATGGAAAAAATTTAAAATAAAGTTTTAAAATATGCCATTTTCCTTTAAAATTAAAAAAAATAAATTTACGTTAATTTCATTGTTTTGTTCTCTCATTGCTTCCCGACATATATCGTAACGTAAATATCGAACATCTAAAATTTTTTTTAAATTAATTTTAAATATTTTAACTAGAGTAACAACCCGAGTGGTCGAGAGTGTCGGGGATGAGGGTTTGCCTGGAATTGCATGTTTTCAGATAGTGAAGACGATAAACTGTTTGGAGGACGGGGCGTTACCTTTATCTTAACAAACCCGATTTTTTCATTCCAACAGAAAGACATTTTTCAAGTCTACATTTTTTACATTTTAACACATCTGTTTGAAATTTTCCGTCTTTATTCTCCAATTGTTTTTGCAAACATTTACATTTATATTTGCATACTTCATCATTTTCAAGATAACGCCTTTTAAAAGAATTTTTCTAAATTAAACAAAATAAAAATGCCTGAAAAAAGCCCCACAAGCCCTACATGTACAAACTCCATAATGAAAACAAATATTTACTGTTGCCCCACAAACTTTGCATTTTTTAATTCTTTGCATTTTTCAAATAAAAATAAATTTTTCTAGAAAAAATATAAATTTTACAAGATGACAATGATTAATTAGATAATAATTAATGATTCAAATAAAAATAGAAAATAGGGTCAAGTATAAATCAATTATTTTTGCTGACTGGTTCCTATTTTATTCTCTATCATATAGGCTTTATTTAATCCCATTATCTTTAATTTGAATAAAGTTAGGCATAGATAAAGTACACGGCTACTTTCTGGTCAAACTGTATTTATTTGTATTTAATGTTTAATAAAAATAAATAAACAATATTTAATTTAGATAATTCTAAAAATTAAAAAATCCGACTTTTTGACTTAACAAAATTAAAAAAAAATTTTTTTGGACTTGCTAAATTCTCAAAATTTTCTCAAAAAAGTTTGCGCAAAAATTTGAGTTGGGTTTATGTTACAGTGGATTTAAAGATTAAAACTCCAAAAATGCTTTGCCAACTTTAGAGGAAATTTATGAATGATGATTGTACGTTTGAACCAATCTTGCTAGTTATTAACTTTTAAAAACGAAAAAATTTATAAATAGTGTGTATAGATGTATGCCAATATGTAGAAATACTGAAGAAATAAAGAGGAAAAATAAAATGAAATTATAAGAATAAGAGTAAGTAAAGGTAAAATTGTAGTTTATGTGACTATTTCCGCGCACATAATCAATTAAAAATGAGTTGGCACCAGCTCTGCTTTCCTATGCCAATGTTGTGTGTATTTGTACCATTACTTCTATTAGAAATACGAAAATGTTAGTTATCCCATATTAGTCTAATAGATAAGGAACTGATAGATAAGGAATCTTAATAGATAAGGAACGGAATTTTACTCAACACATTAATCAAATAGTTAAAAAAGCTTATTTTTTCTAAAACTTATTTAATGAGTTTACTTGACTTGTGAAAGAAGGTACATCAATCTCTTGGTTTTAACTTTTTCATTTCTTTTGAAAAAAGTTGTACTTTTTTGAGAATATAGGGCTTGAGTCCTAGTTCATTATAGGCCATAATACGAATCGATTTTATAGCAAAAGCGAATTCCATGGAGCTTTATCTCAGTGAAGTCCGTTGATTGAGGTATGCTAGGAATTTGACCATGCTCACGTTTTTGGATGTATAATACTTAATGATAGAATTCTTCGATTTTTACAAATGCCTACTTCCTCGAATAAGTTTTGCAAAAAATTTTCCCAAAAAATTTCATAACGTAATTTTTTTAATTTTTGATTTTTGAACTTTGGGAGTTAAAATTTTGCGAACGCTAAATCTTTAAGAAAAATGTTCAATAATAGAATTAGGCTCATAAGTTCTGAAAGAGAATTAATGCGCTATAAAATAAGCGGAAAAAATATAAAAAAAATGCAAAGTAGTAAAAAAGTTATGATTAAATGAAAAGTTTCTTTTATGTCATCCTGTATATGTATACATATAAATGTGATAGAATTTGGAGTATAAAGAGTTTCGACATTATAAATTAAACAAATTGGCTCAAGTATTCAAGTTAATTCAAGAGAGAGCTTAAAAAGAAAAAAAAATAAATTTAAAAAATAAATTATTGGTAAAAGTTATTTAAATTAAAAAAATAAATGCGTTAACAAATAATTTTTTTGAGTGGGTATGGAGAATGTCGTGATATGGAGAAAATCGTATTTCATTAAATATAAAAAAAATAGTAGGCAAGATTGCTAGTATATTAAATTTAAAAAATCATGTGAATGAAATTAGTAAAGCAGAATTCGTTGGGCATTAAAGATTATTAGCTAAATAAACAAATTTTCTAAAATTAAATAGCAGGAAGTTAAGTTAACTTGAGTGATTGGGTTTAATCAATTTAGTTAACTTCGAAACTACCTCCGTCATCTTTTTGAGATTGAAAATTGAAATAAATAAGCGGATTATTTTATTTAAATTTAAATAATTTATTCAAAACAGCTAATTAAGCAAAAAATTTAAATGAAACGGAAATTAATTTTTTTATTATGATTGATTTAAAAAATTTTTTTTGGAAGTTTAATTAAATTATAATTCAATTAAATTAATAAACAATATTAATAAAGTAATAAACACGAGAAAATATTAATAAAAAATTTTGTTTGTGAAGGGTATAAGGTGTAGAGAAATCGATGACTCGAAAAAAGCGCTAAACTTTTCCGATAATTGAAAATGAAAGTTGTTGCGCCGGTAAAATGTAAAAGAAATAGAAAATATATAAATAAATAAATTTATACCTTGATAAAAAGTAGGGTATAAGATTTTTAAAAATCCTTAAAAATTGAAATTTAAGGGAAAAATTATAAATTAAATATTTTTAGATCGTCCTCTATCTTTTGATATAATTTCTGGAATTTTCTTTTTAAAAATCAATTTATGAAAACAAGAGATTGAAGGCCTTAGGGTTTCAGAAGGTGCGGATCGGTGTCTGCCGCGATGCAGTTCGAATGTAGGAGTTAATTAAAAATTCCGAAATTAAAATTTCACGCCATTGACGAATTTTTTTGATTTATAGTGCAGTAAGCACCCTTTTTTATTTCAAAGTTCCAGGACCAAAAATGTTCTAAGATTTAAGACAAAGATTGTACTTTTGCAAGACTAAGACGACACCAATATCAAGACGACAAAACTCTCAAGAAATGTCTCGAATTAAGAATCAAGACCAAAAGTCGAGGATGTCTCTACTGAGTTCCTTCAAGTTCTTATTGAAAAACTGTGAGTAAAACTCAAAAAATTATTCAAGTTCAAAAATCAATCTAAAAAGAATTTTTCTTTTCTAAAAAAAGCTTTATCGTCAAAGCAATAACTTTCAAAACTCCTTTAAATTAGCGATAATAAAATTAATTTTTTCGTTTAATTTGGGTATTTTTTGTGTTTAATTAGCTGGTTTAAATAGATTTTAGCTAATATCCCCCTTTTATCCATCCTCCCTTCTCAACTTCACACTATTTCATAATGCATTAAATCAGTCAATAAAATAATTAAATTATTATTCAGCACGTTTATATACGGTTCCGTGACTTTTGCGCCGTGAACATTTGCACCGCGACTTTTGCGCCGCCACTATCATTGAAAATATATGAATGACTACAGCCAGACCTCACTATAGTAGGGTTGTATGATAGTTGGAAATCTTACGCATTCAGACCTAATCCATCAGTTAACGACTCCTATTGTACTTCCTGAACTTCCTTGAGTTTCTGGATACCATTTTTTAACAAAAGGGGTAAGTTTAAGTAATATGTATTAAACATAACTTGTATAATTGGATTTAATCAATTTAGGTAGCTTCGAAACTTTTTTCTCATCTTGCTATGAATAAAAATTTTATTTAATAAATAAAATTTTATTTAAAAAACTTTAATTCAAAACAGCTAATTAAACACACAAAAATTTAAATGAAAAAGAAAAATTAATTTTTATTATCATTAATCTAAAAATGGGTAGTTGCCATCATAGGGAATTATGGATTGCGTCATGCAGGATCCCTTACTGAAAAATATTTTAAATTAAAAAAGTTGGTTCTATTTTAGTTAATTTATTTGGAAATTAAGGAGGATTTGATGAGGGTTTTAAGGAGAATTTAATGAAAAATATTATTAAAAAAATTTATTTTTTTTTCAAATTCTCTTTCACTGTATCAAATAATTTTTTAAATCCGACTTCCT